AAAGCCTTTTAAAGTGGGTTGTGGGCAAGGATCAAAATATCGTCCAAAACATTTCCGTTTCCAAGGAGACCGAAACGAAACAGTGATGGAATCGAAATTATGATATTTCGAGATATTCTATAATGTTAAATGTACTATAATATTTCAATGCAAATTCAATACATTTGCACAATTATTTTTGGAATGTTTCAAGATACTTTGATATATTTCCATCAATGTATTAGAAAAATGATTTTTAAATTTTTTATTTTTTTCATTATATTTCCGAAACGTTTTTGTTACCTATGTGACCGAAACAATACACCGAAACGATATTTTGATCTTTGGCTGTGAGTTAGCTTTTGCTTTTGAACCCCTCAAACAAAATCAAAGACTCATAAGATTCCTTACCCACATGAACATACTTGCATCAACCATTATCTGGGATTCTCTGTTGTGTAAAGGATCATTTTAGCTCTGTAAGTATTGGGAATCATGCTTGAAAATCTTAATACCAAGTCTGACTGAAACCATTTGGTATGTACGAGGGGCACCTTTCCTTGCAGCTCTAAAACTATCCTTAGAATAGAAATTCAAGCACCTTTTACCTCATAATCACAGAAAAGGGCAGAAGAGAAGAGGGCAAGAGGCTAAACAATATTAGAGGAAAGGGATACAAGCAGATGTCTTCCACTAGTTGGTTTTACGCATAAAATTGCTGGCACTTTTCAAGAAATTTTCAAGATAAAGCAGAAGATGCACTAAAAAACACAAACTTAGGAATCTAGGAAACCTTTTCTTTCCATTACATTTCTTGCTTCCACACTGTCCAACCAAGTTACTTGCTTCCGTTCCAAGTACTGTTACATGCTTCTGCTTCACCTTCTGGTAACCATGGTTTTGAATCAACTAAACTTTAGAACTTGTGAACTTTGTTAGTCTGCCACTTGCATTACTGCTTCTCACAAAAATCCTGTAAAGATTGCTGCACCCTCAAATACTGCTCATATTGCTGGTCAAACTTCTACATAGCATAAAAACCATGTTCTTCAATTGTCAGGCCTACACTTCAAGGATGTGTCAACTCCGGTCTACCGAGTCCCATCTCTTCTTCACCCAAAGACATGATTATCCTCCAGCAGCAAAAAAATTATTCAAATGTGTTTGTAAAGTGCAATGGTGGGTTCTTGACACCATAGCTTACATAGTTACCTTTCCACTTTTCTACCTATATTTCATCAATTTATAATGCCTGATTCATGTTTATCAAATGCTATATACAAGCTGATGTCTTTAATCTAGAATGACAAAAATGAGGAAGATTTTCAGTTTTTGATCCACTATATAGCTCTTAGCTACCAACAGTGGGGTTCTTTGAATTGCGTTTCTGCTTAATAGCTTCACAATATTGGGTACATACCACCACAACCTGCTTCGAATTAACAAGCATACCAATTGTTTATAAACCCAGTACATAACCTGAACTGACAAGGATCTGCAAACCATAGGCCTCTTTTTGGCAGCCAAATCACCATAGAGGTTGAAGTGTCATAGAAAACGCAGAAGGAAACTAAACAGAGGAATATGGTGCTTCTAAAACATACCTAGGTTATGGGGGAAAGTTTCCATAATAACGTTATAGGTTTCATAGGTTGACTGCCAGGAAGAGGTTTTCTCATGTATATAGTAAAGAGGTAAATAGTTTGTCACTGAAAAGTAAACCAGATCTTGTTAACAGCATATTCTGTTGCTTCCGACCTCTTTTTCATGTTGCAAGTAAAATAATGGATAGTTATAAACTGGTCTTGATGCTACATGTTGTTATGGTTCCTTTGTATGCCCCTTATGAAGTTATCAAGAATTATGCCAAAGAATTAGCTTAGATATGATAGGATATGAAGAAGAGAAGTTTACTGGGTATAGTGAGAGATTAATACGAGTGACCAGAGGATTAAAGGCTGCGTATATGCTGCTTAAAAAATTTCAATTTTGTGTCATGTTATATGCAGAAATGCAGGGAAATCCTCATTTGCTACTAAATATAAGCAGTATAAGAAGAAAGGAAGCAACTAATTTTTTTCCTGAGATTGAGTCATTCTGTGAGAAATGAAGCATCAGAACTTTGTGTTAGGATATACAAACAGAGAAGGTAATATTAACTCCACAGGTATCCCAGGCACAAATGAACAAGGCAAAAAGGTTAAGAGGTCTGATTTTATATGAAACTTGAAGCAACAATCACCCCCATTCAACACAGAAAAGTTAGCTTTTCATAAAAGATCATTAGTTATCACAGGACATGAGTAGGGTAGCTAGGCGGAGGGAAGACTGAGGAGGATTATGGGAACATGCGTCTGTATTTGAGGAAAAAAATCTCCAGAGACCTTGCACCTTTTTTCCAAGAGGAACACTGGATAATGCTAAAATGCTTGAAACTGGTGACTTCACTAACACCGCTCAGACACTACACGAGACTCGTTTATCACTTAACTGCAATTATTGATCTAAAAACCTAAGGCTCCTAATCATCGCCCCAAACAAATTCATCCTCTTTGCCTACAATCTCCTATGAATCTTGACTGACCTTCGAAGCACCAACATCTACTTTGCAAAAAAGGCAATGAAAACCATTTGCTCGCATTTGGCTTCAGTAGAAACCATTGTAAGCATACATACATTACATGAAAAACATGGAAGAAATTAATGCTTGTTCATCGTTGAAGGGGGAAAAAAAGCAACCGAATAAATGCAAGGAAGATTTTAACAATGTGGACTCTGTTCTTTGAAGAGGTAAAAAAATGAAAGAAAGAATCCATTTCTAATGATTTTATTATGGATAGTCAACTCAGAAATCTCGGATAAAAAAAAAAACTCGCAAATCTTTGGAATTCAGCTGCTATTGAGAAATCTCGATATAATTGCATTAATAAATCAACTGTAACCCCTCCCAGCATCTCTTTCATATACATTCTTCCAAATATAATCACTATCTTTTATAAAAGTAAACTCTGCTTTCCAGTATCCTCCAGAAGAAATCTTAGTTGACCACATTTGGCAACCAGGTATAGAAAATACAACAGTCTTCACTGCAACCCACTTCGTTAAAGTCACATCAGCCTTAACTACATCTGGCAGTATCTCGTGATGTCCATAGCCAACTTCTCTTAGTACGCAAGTAAGTAGATCAATCTCAAAATTCCAAGCTGTGGACTCTTGCTACATAGAGAAAGCATCTTCCTTAAAAAACCCAGAGCTTGATTCAGAAACAATATGTTTCTACATAAGCTTCACTAGCAATTGTCCAATTTTTTCAATGCCACATTTAGGTAGCTCACATTATAACTAAATGCACCAGTAAGACTTCTTCAGTTATACTCAGAGTTTCCTGTTACAGAAGGCAGAGAGTTTATTTCCCCTCATTTCTGCAGTTGAATGGAAGAAAAAGTAGTATAGTTTAAAGTTGCCTACGCTTTGGGGTCAGCTTTCAGACCTTAGAATGGAGTTTGTTTGCTGAAAACGGAAATTTGTCAGTTGCATACTTTCTGTTTAATTCAAGCATGCAAATCATTCATTTTATGTAACCTAATAACTTTTGAAAGTTCTTTTGGCTTGTAATGTAAGGCAGCATCCAACTAATGTGATATAATCATGATTTTCACAAGATTTTGGGAGAGAATGAGATGGACAGTTAAGGTTTTATAAAATTACTGATCAAAAGAATGTAGCAGAAAAAAAGAGTCATCGTCATGATTCAAAGTAAAGGTCTATTCTCAATATCGAAACAACCCAGCCAAGTCGTATGTATGGCCAAGTTGTATCCCATTCAGGTCCTTTTGTTTCAAGACTGTTCCATGTTCTGTGTGAACCACACGTCTCACTCAACTTGTGGTGAGTCAGAACAATCTATGACGACTGGGTAAAGTTGTCAGAGTCATTATTCAGCAACGTAGTGATACCGTTTCGTGACACCGCTACATGGCATCAATCTCCCCCAATATCCAACTTCTTCTATCTAACGTTTCATTGTTGTTGTCTGATACCGATCTGCGACACTACAACCAATGCATTTAACCATGACATTTAATCACAGTCATCATTCAGCCAGCCATAGGCAATGAATAGATTGTGCAAATGACCAACTGCCACACTAACTAATTGGTATGCTTTTCTTTTTTACTCTTTGGGTTAAAGCCTCTCCAATTAGCCACTTCCAGAAATCTATATTTTAGAAACACTAAAACTAAACTCACTTTTGTTGTCCTCAATACTATGTTAGACAATGCTTTGAAGTCCAGGAAAAGAACTCAGACCATTGAAAATATGTTAACTCCAGATATTTGAAGACTACGGTAAAAACATTAATAGCAGCATTAGTGACAAGTAAACATAAAGATGAGAGAAAATAAACAGCAAAAAAACTGAGGCAATTTCAATTGAGGTAAAGCAAAGAGAAACATTGAGGCAGTGTTGATTGATTGATAAATAATCACACAAGTTTAAATGACAAAAACTGAGCAATGTCCATGGATATGAGATTTATTGCAAATGTAAACAAAAAATGTCATATATATTTGTATATTAAGAGCACATCAGTAATATTATACAACAGGAACAGAGAATTTATTTTATTTTTTGAGCAGATAGTAAGCATTTACCTTACACTCAAGATCCGGAAATCGTGCATGTCCGTCATCGAAAGATGATAACAATACACTCTCAAACAATACCCAGCAACAAAGAACTCCTTCGAATTCTCTATACTAGCCATTCTCCCTCCCAACATGATGTCACTAGCAGTGAAATACAGACAGTACTTCACCACGACCCACACCCAAAGAAAACAGAAGTACAGAAGCAAGGAACTGATACCAAATTCTCTGATAAGTAGGTTACATAGAAAGAAAATTAATGAAATTCCACATTTCATCCAGAAAGGACCAAAACTGGGAGAAATAAAGAAACCATTGTTTGATTGAAAAAGAATCAAACCAATTATTCAAGTCATCTTTACAGCTGAAGATTTCAGCCACTACAGATAAATAAGGACTTCTTATTCTATACTGTAGGAAGCGAAATAATGTCATCTAACTCAACTTTCCAAAACATTTTCTGCCCTTCATATGCTAAATTTGAACAAAAATGTTTCTCCCCTCTATATCTATCATGGCCACATAATTGGGCAGCCCTACATGATAAATTATAATTCCGTGCAAACGGTGTATAAGCTGTGAAAAAAAAAAAAAGGCAACAAAGGGATCTGACCAATACAAAACTGCATCTATCTCTGCAGATGCGTCAAGGACACGTATCTGCGTAAATTCTAGACAAAATGATGGGTGGGGTATTCATGCTCATATCCATTATAGTCATAGTATAGCCTCTCCCCCTTAGCTATGTCACGAGTAGCAACCAAAAACACCCGGCATTCACCATTCACACTGTATCTCACGCATTTAAGATTCTGCTTCTTCCTACCCTCCCTGCACAAAATTGGATTTGATTGAAGAACAATGGATTAAATATTCGCACGTGCAAAATAACTTAAGAAGAATAAAGATAGGATCTTTGAATATTTTCGCTGGAGGTCAAGTTTGATAGCTCAAACTGCAAAGTACAGAAATCAAAGCCTCACAAATGGACATAAACTCGTGATACAAGGAGAAGCAAAGCAGGAGAGGACTTCTGTGTAAGAAAAAGGAAGCAAGGTAGGGGCACAGGCTTACGATGTGTGATTGTTAATGCCACTAATAAAGCGGGCAATGTTTCCCCGTTTATCAGGACAGATGACAAGATTGTTAGATGGGTCTGCTGCTAAAAGAAGGGTCATCATGCTATCACAGTCATCATGTTCTCGATTCTTAATGTAATCCACATCGCCTGTGTATTCTGTGACAAATGTCATATCCTTTATAGATCCATCAGCCTCTACTGTATAACTGCATTAAACAAATATTCAACACAATTATATTCCATATGCATTCCAGTTAAAAAAAAATTCACACTACAGAAGTAAGCAGAATAAATACCCTTCACATGAATCAAAAACTACTACAAGGGGAGGGCATTCGCCTCTCTTGTACATAGCTCTACAGTGTTCCACTGTTTCTGTATTTTCTTTGGAGAGAATCTAACGGGAAAACCACATAACTCATTAATCATGAAATCATAGAGAAAAGAAATAACAGCAGATACACATACATTCTTAGGCCTACAAATAACAGTGGATATATTGAATGAAAACCCAAAAGCTAGCAGCGATAGAAAATTTGGAATTAAGGTTGTAGTTTCAAGTCAACCTGCATGCCACCATTTTCAAACTTTGCCTGATTTGCTGATCTTGGAGCCATGCCCGGTAAGTAAGTGAGATCATCACTGAATTCCATGTTCAATGCTATTAAAGCAGAAGCAAGAGAACCCATTTGTACCAGCCTTCGAGCAGGATCTTCAGTTGAAGTAAATGACAATAGTCTTCTACGTTTCTTGTGCACCACTAATGTACCACAACGTCTGCGGCGTTTTCTAGCGTCTAGCAGCCAACCCACAAGAAACAAAGGACAATCATTGAATTAATGTCACCACCAATTAAATGCAATATTAAGTTGTAAGCAAACTATTCATAGTCACTCTACACAAAGTTAGTGCTGCTCACAGCTTAAATTTAAAAGTAAGAACCACATATCACCAGTTTATGACTATATACTACCCATAAGAAAATGTAGAAGAGTAGAAAAATTAGATGTCTAGGAGCTAGCTAGTACTACTTTAAAGGAGAAAAACAAATACTAATATGTACGAAAGCTTTAGGAAATCAAGAATGGCGCTCTTCACAGTTGATTAAGCAGTGGATGAAAATCATAAAAACTTGTAGAATTAAGGTTATAACATGTTGGAGAAGGATTGAAGGCCTTTTGAAGGGGAAAGTTTAAGTTGGTTTGATTGTGAAAAATTAAGAAAAAGTCTGATGATTGTAACAAAATAACAGGATGATGTCGAGTTATACATAGTAATTCAGTGACCGCAGCCTTATAGAGGAAGTAAAAGAAGACAAGAAGACAAATCATGCATCACATCACAAGGAATGGACCACCTGACACCGACAATCTCAAGTTCTCATAAATAAGTACTGATCATATTTTAATTCTTTTTTTTCCTGAGAAATTTCATATCAGCTAGTTTGGTGGGTTGGTGTCTAAGCTGTTAAATAAAGTGTGTGGTCCATAGATTACACGCACTAGAGAAGTTCATATAATGAGCCTAAGATGTTTTCGTGAAGTGTGACACATTTTGGAGATCTTGTTAGCAGGCAATGAAATATTGATTCTAATGGTGGCAGTAACTTGTAACTTCTTATATTGAGAAGGCCTATGCCATGCTGATGTGGTATATAGAGTCCCCAGCTAGAGGCAGTACTAACCCACTCATGCAAGTGCAAACGATTGATGATCATCTCAAGCGCACCTCACATATGCATTCTTCTTATGGCTAACATTAAAACCCAATTATACATAACTGCAGTAATTCAGTGTTATGGGAACAAACATGAAACCCACTCCAGGATTCCCGCACCTAACTTTTCTGTTAAGTTTCCTACCACATGACATCAACAAATTTCTGAATGAAATATGGACTGTAAATATGTCATTACCAAAACTTCCAAATTGATAGTGACATCTGTAAACTTAATAAATCTCCATCATGGCACACAATCATTTTATGAGAAGCAATCCGTAGAGCATACAACATTCCATGACTTCAATTGTTTCTTCATCCACAAGAATAAAGAATCTAATTATTTTCTTTGTTACGAAGATCCAACTCTTGAAGAAACCCAACCAACCGATAGCAGTTGCAATAAAAATGTAAATTTTCTAAACGAAGTTGCACATCCATTAATGATGTTTTTTCCTTGACCAAATCATAAAATGAGATTACCTAGTGCTAGTGCCACTGTTGCATGGTTAAAAACCATTTCGCTTCAATTATTAGATTAAGCTCATTGCACGAACTACCAAAGAAGCTAACAATTTATTAAAATAATATGTATCTATATTTGTTCCATTGACAAAGTCACCCATCTTGAAAAACTTGATCAGTATACCCTTATTAAAATAATTAATGACATTATTATTATTTAACAAAAATTACTACCTAAATTTGTTCCCGGCGTGATACATTGTTGATATCATAAAAGAAAAATATCACAATACCAATATGATCATCATAAATGACAACAAAAATTACCTTGCGGTGACATACATTTCCCCCATGATTCATTACATTTCTGAATCCGAAAGAAATCAATAATCTTAGTCTGGGAAAAACCTGAATCAATCAAATCTTACATTATATCCATTCACATTCATACATGCGTAGATACAAAAACTCAATATATACATACATATATATAAATAATTTCGTACTTTTAAGGGGCCGATGACGATGATGATGATCAGAGCATGTAGGGCAATACCAAGGCCCAATGGGCACACGCACAACAATTGGCCTCAAACACAACATATGGAATCCCTTATCGCATTTATCACAGAGAAGAAGCTCGTCGTCGTGGTCATCGGAGTGGCATTGCTCGCAGAAAACGTGGCTATAGTCCTCCCGATCTACCACCGCGTACTTGGCTATCTTCATTATCTCCTCCATCGACCGGTACTTCCTCGTCGCGGGAAAATGCAATCGGCTTTCCGGCTGCTCCGCTCGGCGGCGAACAAAATGGTGGATATGTTTCTGCGCCGGCGACACCCGACGTGACAGTGACGAGCTGGACGGAGCCATATCGGGAAATCAAGGGTCGGAACTGGAATATTAAAATTGTTTGGGGTGAATTCCGAATTAAAGTTTCAGTCTTTTGAACAGTAGTTTTTATTGAAGAGTTGTAAGAAAGGCAATGGCAATGGATAGGAAGAGAGAGAGAGAGAGAGAGAGAGAGAGAGGGGGATCGCGGGGAAATAGGTGGCGAAATTTATGGTGAGGTGGCGGAAGGTGATTAGTTGGGCTAATGTGCGCGGTCTGTTGGCATGGAAAATAATGTGCGCACCTCCGAAATTGGATGGATTTTTGGTATTTAGCCGTTTGAGGTTTTGAAGTGACTAGAATGGGGGGGGGGGGGGGGGGGGGGGGGGGGGCTTTCGTAAATTTCGATGGTGGCCGAATCTTTTTTTTTTTTTTGAATATTGATTTAGGTTTCATTTTTTTAAAAAACACATTCACTCTAATTTTTCGAGATTTTTCCCATATTTTCGCTTACAACTGACCTATACATACAATAAATATAGAGAGAATTACATTTAGACTCTCTAAAATTTATCATTTAATCACTCAAACTTCCTATATTTAAAATATTACATTCAAATCCTCTAAAATTTATACACGCGTAACACTTAAATCCTACCATTAAATATCTGTTAGTATATTCATTAGTAAATTATATCCAGACTTCTTGAAATTTATAAGCGTATAATATTTAGACCCCTCAAGTTTAAAATGTTATACTTAGACCAAAAATATTTCAATCAAAGATAGGATATCAAATATTTTAAATTTTAAAATCAAAATTCATGTTCTATTATATCATTTATAAAAATAAAATCAAAAATAAAAAGTCATTTTTTCTTCAAAATCGTAATTAGTATACAATTATACTATATATTGGAATAAAACTAAAAAATCACACAAAAGGTCTAAGTCATTCATAATAGAATATTAATTTTACAACTAAAATTCATGTTTTATTATGTCATTTATTGAAGTAAAATCAAAAATAAAAATCTAATTTTTCTTAAAAAAATCATAATTAACTTAATATTATATTATCTATTGAAATAAAATTAAAAAAATAAATAAGAGGTCAAACTGTAATTGACATAATATACTCTAGCTTTAATTGGAGTAATTTGGTAGTTTGATTTGGTCATTTAAATGACCAAATTAAATTCTGGTAGATAGTATTATTGTATATTAATTATGATTTTTTAAGAAAAATTATATTTTTTATTTTAATTTTATTTCAATAAATGTCATCATAGAACATGAATTTTAGTTATAAATTTAAAATATTTGATTTTTTATCTTTAATTGAAATATTTTTGTTCTAAATATAACATTATAAACTTGAGGGGTCTATGTATTACACGTCTACAAATTTTATGAGGTCTGGATGTAATTTACTAACAGATATAAATAGATATTGATAACAGAGATATAAGTATCGCGCACGTATAAACCTCAGAGAGTCTCTATGGAATATTTTAAATATCAGTGATTTAAGTGATTAAGTAACGAAACTAAGAATGTTTGAGTGTAATTCTCCTAAAATGGAGAATTATACCCTTTACAATATCTATTAATAAATTACACTCAAACCCTCTGAAATTGTGTGCAATATTTAGATCCTTTAAGTTTAAATGTTATATTTAGATAAAAAATAATTCAATTAAAGATAAAATATCAAATATTTTAAATTTTATAACCAAAATTTATTTTCTATTATATCTTTTATTGATATAAAATTAAAAATAAAAATTTAATTTTTTGTTAAAAAAATCATAATTAGTATATAATTATAATATCCATTGAAATAAAACTAAAGCAATAAAAAAGCGATTAAACTATAATGGATACAATATCTTATATCCTTAATTAAAGTAGTTTGGACTTTTAATAAATAGTATAATTGTATATGAACTTTTAATAAATAGTATAATTGTATATGATGATGCCTAGAAGAAACTCCAAATTTGAGCTCGAAAATTGAGGTCAAGAAAGGAACTCAGGCAAGAAAGTCTGAGCTCAGTGGTCCAGACCTAGGGCTCCCTCGACTTGCACCCCGAAGAAAACAAATAGAAGACAACTGGCAACCACAACAACAGTAAGCCTCAGTCTAGGTGCAAGATTTTCAACCGCCTCAATCATTGCCTAGAATCAAGTAAGATATTACGAGAAGAAGGTGAGGATCTCTCCATAGGCCCCATATAGTTAGGAACTAGGCTATAAAAACTGTACAATGCCCTTACTACGGAAAAAGAGCAAGAAAAATAGTGTCAAGCATACTATGTAATTCTAGCATCTTCAATAACAGTTCCTAGGAGCAAGAGATTCCCTTAAGAGTGGATTAGTTGAGCTCCTGAGCTGGTGAACTACTATAAACACTGTATGTGATCCTCCCCCCCCCCCCCATTATTCAGAAATTCCCAAGAGCCTTGGAGCTCAGATTGAATCAAACCACATCATCCAGCGCATCTCTAATCCATAGCATTGCTTAATTGCGATAAGAACATCATCAATTTGGCGTTGTCTATAAGAACTATTGTTCCTATTACAAATACATTGATTTCTTTCAGTAATTAATGGTCTCTACACGCAACATAAGTCGAAGTTAGATGAATCCTCAGCGATTGCAAAACCAAAATGAAGCCACCAGTGGAAGGTAATAAGAAAATCTTCAAGACTTCCTTCCCACCACAGAGACCAACCCTCCTATGGCGGATCCCCCTTCGAATAACGAACTGGAGGCTCTCCGCCTAGTCAACCAACATCTACTACAACAAAATGAAGAGTTCTTAAAGCTCTTACAATATCCTTAGTAGACACACCCATCCTAGGATGATCCCAATGATCCCCCACAAGGGGGGATCATCAATGTATTGATCCCCTAAGGGAGGTTAATGAAGGGGGCAAAAATAGCCAAGTCATGGGCTATGCTCCCCATCTACTTCCTAGGAATGGTGATAACGAAGAAGTATAGAGCCAAAATGTGGGAACTAAGAAAAACAAATTTCTCCCTTTCTCGAAGGGAAAAAAAGAACAGTATTAGGAACAGTGCTTCAAAGATATCCAGCAAGAGCTTAGCTACATGAAGGAGGCGATAAGAGGCAAAACTCTAGTAACTATGGATGCCTTGGTACAGCAAACTAAGTCCCTTTTTACCGCTGATGTACTACACTTCCCCCACACTCTGAAATTTAAAATGCTCCAGATGGAGGCCTTTGATTGGACAAAAAATCTCATGGATCACCTCAACACCTACAAGAATCAAATAGAGTTGTATGGATATCAAGACCCTAAGTGAAGTCGTGCCTTCGCCATCACGTTAAAAGGGCTCAGCCTTAGCATGGTTCAATAAGCTAGCCTCGACTTCCATTTCTTCCTTCAGAGAGCTCTCCATATCCTTTGTGTCATACTTCATAGGAGCTTGAACCTACCGAAAATCGAGCTACCATTTTCTGAATGTGAAACAAGGACTTAATGAAAACTTACAATCTTATGTCCAAAGGTTCAACTCAGAATCACTAAAAGTGGACGTTCCAGATGAAAAGTTCGTCATCAATATTTTCATCGTTGGGTTAGGAGTACAGTCAAAGAACTTAATGTTCTCCATATCCAAAAAATTGCAAGCCAATGTGGCAGAGGTACTTGCAAAGGCATAAAAATATATTAATGTCGAAGAAGCTCTCCTTTCTAAGGTAGGGAGCTCATCCATGAAGAAGAAGAAAAAAAAGGAAGAGAAGAAGAGGGACTGAAGTCCAAGAAAAGCAAAAAGTAGAGACATGTCTCTAAGAAGAGACATCGACTGCTCCCCCAAAAGAAGGGAAGATGTTAGGGATCTCTTAGGTCCTCCACAGCTAGAATTGTAACCAAGGTACGCACCTTGCAGCTCACCCCATTCATGGCTACAATATCCCAGATCCTTTATGAAGTACAAAATGAAAAATTCCTAAGGTGGCCACCTCGAATGAAGGTAGACCCAGCAAAAAGAGATGTGACAAAGTATTGTGAGTGTCATAGAGACCATGGCCACCTCACTGATGATTGCATTCAATTGAAAAAGGAGATTGAGTTCCTAATTCAACAAGGACAACTACACCATTTTGTGGCGCATGATAATCAGAACCGAGCTCAACCACCTTCAGCACCTCAGCAGCAAGTTTCTACACAACATCAACAACCTCTGGGGGGAGATCAGAGTGATATTCAAAAGGTTTGCTAGAGGTGAGGAGTCCAGCTCAGCCAGGAAGGCTCACCTACACAAAATCAGAACTGATGAGATACTGAAAATAAATACAGTGTCTAAGACACCTCGAGTAAACACATATATCACTTTCTCAGACTCAGACTTGGAAGGCTACCAGCATCCCCATGATGACCCCTCTGGTGGTAAGAGTCATCATTGCAAACAAAATCGTTCATAGAGTTTTGATTGACAACGGAACCTCTGCTGACATCATCTTTGTGATTGCCTTCGACAAGATGGACATAGGCAAGGACAAACTTGAGCCAATAAGTGCTCATCTAAGGGGAAAGGGTGTTACCCCTAGGGTCAATCTAGCTTGTGCTCACTATGGGAGATCCTCCTTACCAGACCACCACAATTGCGAGGTTTCTAGTGGTTGATGCACCCTCAACATACAACCTCTTACTTGGGAGACCTTTCCTCAATGTCATGAGGGCCATTCCTTCTGCCAACCATCTTGTCATGAAGTTCCCTATGAAAAATAGAATTGGAATGGTCTGAGGAGACCAGCGTATAGCACGGGAGTGCTACATGGAATCCATGAAAAAGAAAGAGGTCAAAAACATCCAGCTGGACAAGCTTGACATGAGGGATGAGCTGAAAACTAGGCCAATGCCATCAAAAGGGCTGGAGCCTATCCGGCTTGACGAGAAGCCAGAACACCTGGTATACGTGGGATCTAAACTGAATAGGGAAATTAAAGACCTCTTGATCCAATTCCTTAGAAGAAACATGAAAGTGTTTGCTTGGAAATAAGAAGATATGAAATGAATTAACCCCTCAATCATCATGCACAAGCTCAGTGTGAACCCAGCCTGTAAACCCATAAAGCAGAAACAAAGAAGTTTTGCCTCGGAACGCCAGAAGGCAATCAATGAAGA